GTATCGTACCTGTGCAAATTTTGGCGGCATGTGCGTGATCACTTCTGTGGAGGTAGTGTCGCTTCTGTGACTTTGAGGCCAGGGGAGAATCTTTGCTTCTGCGAAGCTTGGGATGCAGGTGTGATGCCTGCTTCTGCGGTGCCATGATCGCAGATGCGATCTTTTGCGCTTCAGCAGTCCCCCCTCACGCATTTGCGCAGTCGCTTCTGCGACGTGAAGGTCCGCAAATGCGGTCCTCTGCTTGGATGCCCTGTTCCGCAAATGCGAGTCTGCAGATGCGGAACTTGTGTCCGCGGATGCGAAAATATTGGACAGAATACATAAAATCGGGTGTTAGCCATGTTTACTTATTTTTAAGTTTTAAGTCTTGGATTTGGGAGATTTTAAAGGGATTTTTCACAAGTTCGAATTGGGTAAGTGTTCCTTATCCTATAGTGATTATATTTCATAAATCCATGTTTATATTCATCGTCTATTTCGGATATAGATGGAATAAATTGAAATTTTTGTAAAACTTTTCAAAAATAAAAATTTAGGATTTGAAAGACAATCCGATATCGGAATTCGATAATTTTAGTATGGTTGAACTCGTATCATATCGGGTGTCCGAATTTCATGATTTTTCGTCGTGTTCAGAAAAGTGGGCCCCACATTGACTTTTTCGAAAATGGCTTAAATTAAGTATCTTTCGAATTATGAATAATTTGTAAAGCTCCAATTGAATTGTTGGCCAATAATTTGATAGGTTTGATTAGTTTGGAGACTAATTCGAAAGGAAAAGCTGTGGTCGAGTGATCACTTGAAATTGCGAAACGAGGTAAGTGTAGTGGTTAACCTTGACTTGAGGGAATAGAACCCTTGAACTATATTTATATGAATTTCACGTGTAACGACGTATAGGCAAAGTGACGAGTGCCTATACATCGTCAAATTTATTATTTGCATATTTATCTAAAAATTATAAATTATTTTAAATTATTAATTAATTATTATATTAATTATTTCTCTCATATTCCTCGACCAATATTATGTCTTGAATTCATGCTATAATTGTTACATGCTTATTTGACTTATGTGTATTAATTGCTACTTGACATTTAGCATATTAAATATTAAATTATCTATTTTCTCCCTGATTTCCACTATTAATTGCTACTTGACATTTAGCATATTAAATATTAAATTATCTATTTTCTCCCTGATTTCCACTATTAATTGCTACTTGACATTTAGCATATTAAATATTAAATTATCTATTTTCTCCCTGATTTCCACTATTAATTGCTACTTGTCATTAATTGTTTCCTAAATAAATCATAATTATTGTGTGCTTTGTTGCCTAGTAATTTTTTATTAAGTGTGGTACTTTTTGGAGTAGATTCACATTTAAGTATTGTTAAATTATATTGTTAGAACGGGTTGCACGCCGTAACAATTTATATTTTAACTTTATATTGTTGGAGCGAGTTGCACGCCGCAACGAAATTTAATTGGAAGATTATATTATTGGATCGTGTTACACGTCGCAACAAATTTGTTTATATTGTTTGAGCGGGTTGCACGCCGCAACGGAAATTAATTGAAGAATTATATCGTGGGAATGGGTTGCACGCCGCAACAGAATGATAAAAGAAATAATTGGCTATGACTGCTGTATTGACTTCAGTTATTGATATGATTTAACCGTCTTACCTATATTCCTGTTATTGTCATTATTATTGCGTACATGTTAATGTAAGCGACTTGCCTTAGCCTCATCACTACTTTGTCGAGGTTAGGCTCGACACTTACAAAGTACATGTGGTCGATTATACTCATACTACACTCTGCACTTCTTGTGTAGATATCGAAGCTGGTCCCAACGACGTACTGTAGATTTGCTCGGATTCAGCTATCAGATGAAACTTGAGGTATTGCCGCACGACGTTCACAGCTCTGAAGTCCCCTTCTATTTTATCTTGGTTGTGTGTTTCTTTCAGACATCTTTATTTTTATTCAGACCCTTATTTGTATTATTCTAGAAGCTCGTGCACTTGTAACTCCAGTTCTGGGATAGTATTTAGACATCGTTATTATTTTGGTTTGTTTATTTAAACTCATATATTATTCCAGTTGTTGGTGTCATTACAATTTAATTAAGATGAATTGTTAAAAGTGGTTAAATTATTCTAACGTTGGCTTGCCTAGCAAGTGAAATATTATGCGCCATCACGATCCTGAAGGTGAGAATTTCGGGTCGTGACAGTCATATTTTATTTCGTGAATATGAACAGAAAAAAATGTTTCCTTAATATTTTGTATGAACGATGATATTTATTTATAATAAAAATAATGAAGAATATCTAACATAAAGGTGACCATGAGTTCCTGACTGAAGTTCCGACAACTAATTTTAATAATGTGGGAGCAATATTGGTCTTCCAATCACATTAAACCTAATCTATATTTTAGCTCGTTATGGCTTGCCTTTTCTTTCTTTTAATTCATATTTCATTTTAGAGTTTTTGAAAATTTTATGTTAAAATTTATTAATTTTAACTTATATACTCTAACTGTTTAATTGAACATAAAATTCATGATGCTTTGTCATAGCAAACTTCTATCTACATGTTCCTCAATGATTTCTTCCCAATAGAAAAGTACACACTTTTATAATAAATGGGGAGGATAACAGGGTGCACGAAACATACCGTACTCACGCAAACTTTATCGTTGCTCAAAGTTCCTTTCACTTTTTTTATTTTATAATAAATGCTATCATGAATTTACCGCCTTATTTGGTTTACAACTCAGAGTAATTGAATCCACCTTTCTTTTTGTTTATTAGTACTTGTGTAACTTCTTCACACGGTTTTCATATTATTATCATTTAGGATCATTATCAACTCCACCAATCATGCACTGTGTTTATTTACTCCAACTAACTTCTACCAATGATGTGAAGAAAGCCAAATTCACAGCCGTGATTCTTGATTGATTCTAGCAATCAGGAAATTTCGAAATTACTTGTATTTTTTATTCAATTTGCGAAAAATTACTAATTAATGTAGCTTGCTTTTTTCACCAAAAAAGGAAACTAAATCGGGAAATAGTTGAAAGTACTTTCACGAGAAATGTGTTGGATATTAATTTTGGAATGAGAATAAATAACCTGTCTCATTGGCTTAAATTTCTTGTTACATGAATGGATAACCTTTGAAAATGGGTGTCAAATTAGTATACCTAATAATGATATAAAACAATAATTTGTTTTCTTATAACATCTATTTTGTGGTCGAAGAATTCATTTATTACGTGCTTTTATAATTGAAGATCCTTTTATTTTGAATATATAGAGTTTCCATTTTGGAAATTTAAAAGTAAATTCCAGACTTTCAAAAATTTAAAGCCAGGACTAGTATATGAAGGTTGAAAATTGCTATTCTTAATTAACTATGGAAGAAAAAACATGGACATGGTGATTTTATTTGGGATAAAACCAGTATAAACTTGATCACAATGAAAAGTTATGAATTATAGACCTTTGACATAAATGAATTGAAATGTTTCGAGGAGAAAAATCATTTGCCAAAAAAAAAAAAAAAAAAACTGTTGAAATGCACAATCTGTCACATCAAAAAATAAGAAATTATTGTTCATTGAATAAAAAGAACAAAAAAATGAAAATATTTTGAAGTCTCGATCTATTTGGACCTACATTTACGCTCCTCCTTCTGTAGTCTGAATTCTGAACAAGTATTTGACTCTAAATGGACCAATCCATCAATAATTCCACTAGCTTACAAAGACCAAATAGGAGGGAAAATATAAGAACATATAAAGAGAGAGGAGAAAAGAAAATCCACAAAAATTGGAGTTCTCTTTTCCTCCGTTTTATTTTATAGTATGTCTTAGTTCGATTGAACACGAAATTAAAAAATATAATATCATTTGTATATTGTGACTTTAAAAACATGTCGTTCTATAAGGAGAGTGTTATTAAGGCTAAAATAGTAATATTAAAATTAAAAACTTAATAAATATAGAAAGAGATATTTTTTTATACATACTAGAATAAAAAGTAAAACATGTAAACTGCAAGGAGGGAGTAGTACACTTGGAACTAATTTTACTCGAACTTCTCCAATCTCCCCATGATTAAAGAGAAAATATCCCATATTTTAAAATTTATAAAAGTCCACCAGTGTAACGTTGAAGTCATGTGCACCCTAATCAAGTTAAACTTAGTCATGTGCACACTAATCAACTTATGCTCGATTTTGCACATAAAGTTGGAAGAAAATATATTGTCCTTAATTTCCATTCCCGTTTTATTAATTTCCATAATTTTTCACTCTCTTGAATCTTAATTTCAATCGTACTTTTCCATTTTGAGATGCTTCCAAATATAGTTGATGCAATAATTAAATGCTATTTATACAATTTTCAAAAACTTTTAAAAATTCAAATTTAACGAACTATTCTTCTTCTTTTTTCGAATCTTAATATTTTTTACACTAACGTTAATAAATATACAACTCAAAGTTCTACGGTGATCAATATAATTTGCAAAAAAGTAATATTCTAAAGGGGATATCCAATCAAATATTATCATATAAACTGAAACGAATAGAATAGTTAATTTTAATAATTGAATTATAGTTGATAGAAAAGTTTAGGAGAACATATGAGCAACCCAATATCTCCAAGTAATTTATGGTATTACTTTTATCATCTAAAGGGTAAGAAAACAAATTATATCAAGCAAAAGAATAACAATGCTTTCACACGTAACCAGGGTTCATACTTATTTAATAAAAATGTGTTCAATTAATTTTCTTGAAATAGAAAATCCAAAATTGGGATGTTTAATAACCATTTTAAGGCTGTGAAATGCATTAATAGAAAATCCCATACAAGAAAAGGAAACAAAGACAAAAATTAAGTAAACTTTAGTACTTTACTAGCATTAGAAAACACAGTACTTAAGACTAATTTAGACAGTAACAAAAAGGACATAAGCAAAGACCAAGATGGGAAGTAAATCTCAGACAGAAGCCCACAAAAAACAATGAGAATCTTTATTACTCCTATAATAGATTCTTCAAATTTCTCCAAATGATCTTAATTAGGCGCCTTTGGAGGGAAAATTTTCTGTTTCACTTTGTTTTCTTCGATTTCTACGAAATATTTTTCTACTTTCTTCTTCTGCTACTTCTGTCTGCTGCCATTGCCACAACCTTAACCAGTTAACCTTAACCCTAGTCCCTGTTTTTCCACATTAACTCACTTGTTTGTACATTTTTTTCTTCATTTCAGCACCATTCTTGACATACCCATCTGCTCTTTTTAAGTCCAAATTTATTGCTGTCACCTCATAAAGAAAAAAGCTAACTTTGTCAGATCTGAGCATATCCCTTTTTTCTTCACTTCACATAGTATAGTCTCTTTCTCTCCACTCTTTTTCTTTTTTCTGAATACAATGTGGTGTTATAAATGAACCCTTTTTATTTTCTTGGACAAACACTTTGAAAAATATATACTACTATGTCATCGGAAATGCGCAGCCGTGGTGGCGGTGGCGGTGGCAATGGTGGGGTTGTTGGTAATAATGGGTTTGATCCAAGTAATCTTCATTTGAAGAAAGAATTGACCCAAATCAAGAAAGCTGCTAGAGTGTTGAGAGATCCAGGAACCAGCTCTTCTTGGCGTTCACCACTTAACTCTGCTAGATCTGTAGCTGCTGCTGAAGCGAGAAAGCACCATTATTTTCATCATCACAAGGGTGGTAGTACTCTTACTAAGCATCAATCGGTTGATGCTAAAGATACTATCTTTGAGCAAGTTGAGAGAAATGGCACTAACAATGGGAAAGAGAAAGAGAGAGAGAAAAAAGTGTTTCTACATAATTGGAGGTCTCAAAAGTCTGAGAGTGAAAGGAGTAGAAAACTAGGTGATGAGGAAGATATTGGAAATGGCAATGAGAATGAGAATGGGTCTTCTTCAACTCCAGAGGAGAGTGTGGAAGATAGTTTGAGCGATGCGCGCCATGGCGGCGGTGGCAATGATTCCAAGAGTGATACTTATGTAAGTGATAGGTATGCTTCAATGATTTTAAAGTGTAAAGATACTAACTTTATGCCATCTATTAGACGGAACATGAAGAAAAAATCAATTAGAAGTAATTATTCTAATGCCATTCTAAGACATCAAAGTGAAAAGTTGCAGCAGCAAATTGTTCCTAGTAATAGGATTTCTAGAAGAGCACCCGCGGGTTTAGGTATAGGGAGGGACGATTCCACGAGTCTGGTTGATCAATCTGATGATACTGAGGATTATTATAATTCCGAGGAGATAAGGAGGATCTCTGCAGCTTCACCATTGCTTGCTAAGCTTAGGAATAGGAATCGTGCTCATTGGTCGTCTAAGTTGAGAAATAGTGGGAGAGAGGATTCATCTTATACATATAGCACCCCTGCCTTGTCTACAAGTTCGTACAATAGATATGCTGTTAGAAATCCAAGTACCGTTGGGTCATGGGATGCCACAACAGTGTCCCTCAATGATGGGGATGATGAGGTGGACGATCAGCTTGATTTGCCTGGTCGACAGGGGTGTGGGATTCCTTGTTGGTCCAGGAGGTCAACACCAAAATATAGGGGTGGGGGTGGGAGTTGTTATTCACCGTCCTTTTCTGATACTTTGAGGAGGAAAGGAAGCAGCATTCTATGTGGAAGTCAAACTATGTATCAAAGGAGACGCCGCGGATCTTCTTTAGGGTACACCAAGAGGAGACACAGTTCGAGGAATGCTGCTCAAGGCCTAATTCCATTGCTAACCAATGGTGATGGACAGGGATTGTCCTCAATAGGAACTGGACACAGTGATGATGAGCTCTCCACAAACTTTGGGGAACTTGATCTGGAGGCATTAAGTAGGTTGGACGGGAAGAGATGGTCTACAAGCTGCAGAAGTCAAGATGGACTAGAACTGGTGGCACTGAATGGAGAAGATGGAGAAGAGGGCTCCCCGGAAAATATCAGAAGCCTGAGCCAGAAGTACAGGCCAATGTTTTTCGAGGAATTAATTGGGCAGAATATTGTTGTTCAGTCCCTAGTGAATGCAATCTCCAGGGGACGAATTGCCCCTGTTTATCTTTTCCAAGGCCCACGAGGAACTGGTAAGACATCAACAGCAAGAATTTTTGCTGCTGCTTTAAATTGCCTTGCCACAGAAGAAACTAAACCCTGTGGAGTCTGCAGAGAATGCGCAGATTTCATGTCTGGGAAATGTAAGAATCTTAGAGAAGTTGACGGGACGAACAAAAAAGGAATTGATAAAGTTAAGTATCTTCTAAAGAATCTGACAGCAAGTCAGCAATCATCTTCTTTAGGATTCAAGGTTTTTGTTGTTGATGAATGTCACTTGCTGCCTTCAAAGACATGGCTAGCATTTCTGAAGTTCCTTGAAGAACCACCATCACGGGTTGTCTTCATTTTTGTGACTACTGATCTTGACAATGTGCCGCGTGCTGTATTGTCTCGGTGCCAGAAGTACCTCTTCAATAAAATCAGGGATGGTGATATTGTACTCAGATTGAAGAAGATTTCTTCGGATGAGGATTTGGATGTGGAGTCAGAAGCATTAGATTTGATTGCTTTGAATGCAGATGGATCACTTCGAGATGCAGAAACCATGTTAGACCAGTTGAGTTTGTTGGGGAAACGAATCACTACTTCTTTGGTAAATGATCTGGTGAGTTGTTGTGCATGTTTGCACATTCCATACTAATTTCTTCAATTTATTCCTTTTCTTTTTTCCCTTCATGGCATGAAACCGAGCATTTTTTTCCTGATATTTCTTTCCTTCCCTAGATTGGTGTGGTTTCAGATGAGAAGCTACTGGAACTTTTGGAGCTAGCAATGTCATCAGATACTGCAGAAACTGTAAAAAGAGCCCGGGAATTGTTGGATTCAGGTGTTGATCCAATAGTTTTGATGTCTCAATTGGCCACTCTCATCATGGATATAATTGCAGGAACTCATCCAATAGTTGATGCCAGGCAAACTGATACCTCTGGCGGGAAAAGTTGTAAGTAGCAGATATTCACCCTTATAATCTTTGTCCTTTTTGTTTGATCTTTTGTTCATAAGCTTTGACTTACATTCTGCAAAAGACACTAGATTTATGCTTCTGATTGTAATTTCAGTATCTCAAAATCTATTAATAATTGGCTGACCTTAGCCGACCGTGTGAAAACTTTCATTGGCTTGTCTAGTTAACCGGGTGGCAATGTGAATAGGGAAACATTTAAAAGGTTTTGCTAAAGTAAGTAGCCATTTTGTGCATTTTCTAGTTTAAAGAATCAATAGTGGTTTATTTTTCCATATTTCCTTATATCATTCAGTATCTTGTTGAATTGGTTAAGTTGAATATGCTACTCCCCCGTCTCATTCTCGGTAACAATTAAAGAGTATAGAGATTGATGAACTACTTCGATTTACAATATAGTGTTAGACGAAAAATTCTGAAGCGAATGCTCAAATTAGCCCGTAAAATTGGTTGATAGGAAAGCATTTATGGACTGACTAATTTAGAACTTGTTAAATGTGTAGAATATCGTTATCTTACAAGTTTGTTCAAACCATCATATGATATGTTCGAAAACACAAATGTGTCATGTTTAGGAAGGAAGGAGTGAAAATTAGAGGAATGCTTTCTAGTCTGTTCTCCTGATAAAAAGTTTTTTTTTAATATTTTGGTTATGTCCCTGTAGCCCTTCTGTTGAAACACCGAAGAATGTGGAGGAGAAAGTTTTGAATATTATATGTTTCCGTATATTGTCCAAAAGGATTGTCTAATTGATCCACAGCCTGCAAAACATGCTGACTTTTAATATTACAAAGCTATATAGCTTGTGTATGTACTGATTGCGTTGGCTCATGTACTGTCTCTGTACCTTTCTGCGTGACTGCTCTTACATTTTTTGGATGTTTTCAATATTTGTCAAACTTTAACAAGAGCAACAGTAATAGTCACTTTCAACAAGTACCAAAATCTGAGTTATTTAAGTCATTCAAATTTGATTTGAGGTGTTTTCCTTATCACATGCACTTAGTGCAGCTATGTAAGTAGTCTAATACAGTTTGTATCTGCACGTTGTACGTTGAACTATATTGCCGACAATATGGACGTATCTACATGTTTAGCAACTTATATTCATGAAATGATTAAGTCATTGTGCCTTAGTGAATTGATAAAATGAAGTAAATACACAATATTTTCTCCTTGCTTGTATTACCTTTCAATTACTCCGTGTCTATATTTTTGTTATTGTAGACTTGTTAATGGAAAACTTTTAGAAGCTTTTTTAGGTTATCAGAGTTTGGCTTATGACTTTTTCTCATATACTTTCTCAAATTGCTTGGATCCACCTGTCAGTGACCGAGACAGAACTGGATAGATTGAAGCATGCACTAAAGCTTCTTTCTGAGGCAGAGAAACAACTTAGGGTTTCAAGTGAACGTTCAACTTGGTTTACAGCAACCCTTCTGCAGTTGGGTTCTTCTACTTCACTAGAACAAACTCACTCAGGAAGCAGTCAAAGGCTGAGTTCTAAGACAACCGAGGAAGACCCTTCTAGTACATCTAGAGAAGCTATATCCCTGAGGCAGAGAACTGATACTCACCATGCTTCGCGTAAATCAGGTTCTCCCTCGTCTTTTGCAAAATCCAACCGTCGAAATTCAGCAAGTAAAGAATTGGGACTCTCATCGATGATTGGTGAGGCATTGGGTGGTCCACATAATGACGTTAAGGACAGTAAGACATCATCTAGGTGCCCCAACACAAACATATTGGATGATATCTGGATCAGTTGCATTGATAAATGCCACTCTAACACCTTGAAGCAACTGCTTCATACTTGTGGAACACTACTGTCAATCTCTGAAGTTGAAGGTCAATTTCTCTTTCTGATCCACATGCAGCTGTTTGTGTTCACAAGAACAGACTGAATTTTTAAATCTTCTGGGTTCTCTTTTGATCTTCAGCTCTCCCAGTTAACTGTTGAATTAATAAGGATTAAACAGTAATTTGAACTGCATTTTCTTTACTTGAAGCTGAGCGAACACTGTTCAAAATTTAGTTACAGGTAGAGAGAACTTGGGATGAGATAGGCAGTGGCACTATATCAACTTGTTTTCGGCTTGCTGCACAAAATGTCATTATGATGTGTTAATAATCCAACTCTCAAAGTACAAAGCTATTGAAGGCAGAAAAACTTTAAGACTCAAGATAAGAAATGATTGAAATTTATAGCTGGTATATAATCTAGTCAAAGTTGATTTTTTTGACCTTGAACTTATTAAATTGGATTATGAAGACCAAGATAATAGCTTCGTCTCTAATAGATATCTTATCATTGCTCCTTTATAGAGAAAAGTATCTTATCACTTGAAAAAAAAGGTATCTTATCATTGATATGCTGGGTCAAAATAACTTCAGAGTGCCTCTTATTTCAAGGAATAAGAGAAAGAATTCAACTTTTTCTATTTCTGTAACTCTTAAATTGAGCAAATCTACTTGTGGTTCACTACAAATGGTGATGCAATCTACTCATTTTATCAAATTACGCGATCCCGTGCATGTGCATATGACTTATTAGCTGTTTGGACCTACTGTGTGCAGGTGGTTTTGTTGCTCATATTGCTTTTCGTGATAGCAAGGTTAAAATGAGAGCCGAAAGGTTTCTTAGCAGCATCACAAATTCATTTGAAAATATTTTACGGAGCAATGTAGAGGTTAGACTTGTTCTGCTACCGGACGGGGAGACGTCTGATGACAGTGGAAAGCCAATTACGTTGACGGATCCTGTAGGTATGAAACAGATGGGCCCACCAAACTTGGTGAAGAAGGAAACAACAGTTTGCTCAAGTCAGGAACCTCTACAGGTATCTAGAGGAAGTTTTAATGATTCTGAAAGCAAGATGGCTGAAACTTTTGAGTCAGCAAGTGGAAATGCTGAAACGAGTAGTTCTAAAGATAGGATCTCAGAAATTCCAGTGCAGAGGATAGAATCCATCATACGTGAGCAGAGGTTAGAAACAGCATGGTTACAAGCAATGGAGAAAGGAACTCCTGGATCAATGAGTCGCCTAAAACCTGAGAGGAACCAAGTCCTGCCACAAGATGGTGCTTATCATAACAATCAACTAGAATCAATTAATTCGAGGGACCTGCCTTCCCAGCATTGGCATGATGATCTAAATGAGGAAATAAGAAGTCTGAAGATGATTGATGGAAAGGCCATTCAGAAGGATCAGACCAGTAAAAAGGGCGACAATTATCCCATTTCACCAAGTTTGTTGCATAATGGCATCTATGCCGCCAATTTCAGCAAGGAGAGCATGTAAGTTATAGGGCTTTATCTCTTCATAATTTATCTCAGTATAAACTTTGTTGATAAATTTCACTACTTGCATAAGGTCGTAAATTTCTCCTGATGCAGTGATAACTTTTGTGGCTTGCTTTAGATATGCTCTTGTTGAATGTTCAAATTCTACTCTTCCTTCAATTGTTTTTTATAGAAAGAGTCAATAGTGTTAGCTAACCTGATAGTGTTTTCAGTTCCTTCACACTGCTTGTAAGTTATGTTGACAATGTTTGTCTTTTAGTGAGATGTAAAATAAGAGGGTCTCAATGTGGACTATCAGCAGGTGCATTTTTGCCTCTAACTCTCATTGTTGCATGTTTACAGGGGATATGAATCAGGATCTGGTGCTGGAGGTTGTTTCTGTTGGAACAACACCAGACCCCATAGAAGGGGGAAGGTATGCTTTTTTTTTTGGATGATATAACTAATTTTTTCCCTTCTCGGAACCCTGCACATAGCGGGAGTTTAGTGCACCCGACCGCACTTTTTTTACAACTTAACTTTTTTTCCTATGATCAGTCAACGAGAAGCATACTTGATGTTTTGCAAATTAACAGGTTAAACAAGGGACCCCTGTGCGTCCACCTAAAGGCGGACGGTTCTTATGGTTTGGGGAGTGTGCAAAATCAAGGAGAACAGAGAGTAGATTGAGAAGATAGTAGTGAAGCTCCCAGACCCAAGAATTGCTCATTTGTTTTTAGTTGGTCTTTCTGTATTTATTCCATCTGCTGGGGCCATTCTATTCTTTCAAGGTTTTCAAGCTCACTAAAGGATTTGTAAAGTTATTGCTCTGGGCTTCTGAAATTCCCTCTAGTCCAGCCAGTTCCGTGAAATCAATAAAAGGTCGAATAGAGAACATTTCTCTCTTGCCATTGACTACTTTTTTACTACCTCTGGAGTTTTGAATTATGCAGACAAATACTATCAGGACCAAATAGAAATGGTGGGATGTGAGTTTGTAAAATGGAACCAACTTTTAACAGGATCTTGAATCCATCTTTATAAACCGAAACAATATTTGTTTAACCTAAGGTTCAAGTTGCAGGAAATATCTTGTATTTGCAGTATGCAACCTACACTAAGGTCTTTAGTTAGGTGGACTAGTTTTGTAAAGATAATAATACGTAAGTTATTACGCTGTGAACAACTTGAACATAGATTTTTATGTTGTGAATAACAATACAAATACTGTTTCCAGTATTCACCGCTTTCTCCTTTAAACATATTTCTCCCGTAGCTTGGTGACTTTCTAATAAATTTTCATTATTTGCACAGCTTTGCCAAGTTGCTGAAATCTGGGGAGATACTTTCTTTTCCCATGAATTTCACAAGACTCGCAAAGCTTTCTAACCAGTGAAAGGGTAACTTCATCTATAGAATAGGAGATTACAAATTTCCAGGGAAATATTATGTTTGAAAAAAAGAGGGAAGAAAAACTAACAAAACTAAAAAGTTTAAGATTCTTCACTGTTCAATATTCTTTCCGCAAGTAGCAAATCGTCAGGTGTCGTAACCTGCAAATCACAAGGACGAAGGCAAACATTTCACATCCAAAAGAAGGTCAAGTGCAGTAGCAGGAAAATATGAACGAAAAAGACAATGAGGCTAAACTGGCTACCTTTATGTTAGTGTAAGAGCCATCAGTAATGTATACAGGATGTTTGAGGTGCTCTACTATTGATACATCATCTGTTACTTCAAGTCCTTCCCTAAAAGGCCACATGAAACATAAAATAAATAATCAAATAAGAAGGGCTAAATAGGGACCCTCTAAGCTCCTTTTAATTGTGTTTATGACAAATATTCTTATGACCTCATCAAAATGATGAGTAATGTGAAACTATTAGGGGTTGTTTTGTAGAGTGTATAAGAATAATACTGAATATGATGTGTTAGTAATGTTAAGTATTAGTTAAGTTTGCATTAGTTGTGATGGTATTAGTTATGCTGACATATTTCTTATCCATTGTTTGGTTTAATGTATTAACGCATTGTACAATTTCTAAAAGAATTATTTGTTTACAAAAATACCCTCATAACCAGTCCATCACTTTATCTTTTTAAAAGAAACATATGTTGATGAATGTTTTTATATGAAAAAGGTTTTAAAAAAATTATTTGATTTGTCTACCAATATTTTAGTATAGAACTGACTACTTATTTATAAAAAGGAAATTATGCTAAGTATTTATTTATTACTAGGGATATAATTTTATTTCTCACTTTCTTGGATTATTTCAAACTTGCATTAATATAATAGTATATTTTAATCAAACATAAATTTTGAAGGACAATTTTTTCTTTAACTAAGCTTATGCATGCATTAAAACCCATTGCATTGTTAATACCATGGTTTCTTATGTATTAGTTATGCATACGATAATAACTAATGCTTGCATAACTAATGCATAGGTTCAAAAAGTGTACCAAACAGGGGGGG